AAAAAAAAAAAAAAAAAAAAAAAAAAAAAACCACCACTCTTTAAAACCTCAGTTTATGCTTCCTGGGCCTCAACAATGTCCCAGACTTAGTAACTGAAGCATCCAAAGTCTCCCCGAAGTGCCCAGAGACACGGCATGCTTCGGATTTCAGAATTACACTGCCGGTCCCGGTTCAAAGAGCCAGCTGCTGGTACATTAGAAAAATCTGATGCAGATGCATTTAAATGCTCCCAAAACCATCTCCTTACACTCTAATACTGGTTTGAGAACTTGCTATGGGCCAGTTCAAAGCTCACCATGTTTTAACATTGCTAACAACTGCTCTGGTCAATAGGCCAAGCAAGTGATGAAATTATTGTGTGTCTCCGCAAAAAGTGGTTGAAGAAGCCTATTTTTTCCCCCCAATGATCCTTGTTATATACAATTCTTGGACAGTCTATCACAAGGCTAGGAATAGGGTTGCCAACTTTCTAATCATACAAAACCTAACACCCTTGCCCCACCCCTTTTCCAAGGCCCTGCCCCCCGCTTGCTCCATCCCCCCCTCCATCCATCGCTCACTCTTCCCCACTCTCGTTCACTTTCAAGGGGCTGGGGCAGGAGGTTGGGTGGGGCAGGGAGGGGTAAGGGCTCCAGCTGTGGGTGGGGCTGGGGATGTTGGGTTCAGGAGGAGGCTCCATCTGGGGTCGGGGAGTGAGGAGTTTGGGGTGAAGCAGGGAACTCAGGGCTGGGCCAGGAGGTTGGGGTGCACGGGGCAGGGGAGTGTTCTGGCAGCTCTTACCACGGCTTTGAGGAAGTGGCCGCCAGGTCCCTGTGGCCTCTAGGCACATGGGCAGCCAGGTGACTCTGCGCGGTGAGCACTGCCTTTGAGCCTGCAGGAACCACCCCCTGCAGCTCCCATTGGTCACAGTTACCAGCCAATGGGAGCTGCAGAGCAAGTACTCGGGTCAAGGGCAGCGTGCGGCGCTTCCCTGGCTGCCCCAGCACGTAGGGGCCGCAGGGACCTGGCGGCCACTTCCGGGAGCCGTGCAGAGCTAGGGCTGGCAAGGGAGCCTGCCTTAGCCCTGGGCCCCTGTTGCACTACTGACCGGACTTTTAACAGCCCAGTCGGTGGTGCTGTCCGGAGCCGCCAAGGTCCCTCTTCGACCAGGCATTCTGGTCAAAAACCAGACGCCTGGCAACCCTAGCTAGGAACACACTGAAGGGAGGTAACACGCTGCTTGACATTGCTCACCAGAAGAGCAAGGAACACTGCAAAAAGAATTCCAAAGACCACAAAACCATTTCAGGTCTTTTTGGTGAGATCACAGGACCAGAGTTTTGGTATGATAGCCTCATTACTGGTACACTGGACTAGCTCCTGAGCGTACTCCAGTGGATCCAAAAATTCAAGTAGTAACCACAGCTCACTGCTAAGGTTTCAGGCCTTTTCATTTTGCTGCCAATTTACCATGTGTCCTTTAACTACTGCTGAACTGCAAAGAAGTTCGCCTGGAAGCACAACAGCTTCAACATCGACACCAACTGAGTTAATTACAATTAGTATCAACCCAATGAACAAAAACTGCTAATGACCCAAACCTTCAGCTGTTACCTTTCAATAGCCAGGACTTCTGCTGTTACTGAACGGACGGCTCTGATGAATTCACATGGTCCCATGTGAACCTTGGCTACACTAGGATGCTCATATACACAGTCCTATCTAGCAGTTCCAGCAAAGCAGCAGAACACTGCATAAAGCATACAGCATTTAAAGGAAAACTATTCCTTTTCATTTTACTGTGACTTGATAAAGCAAACTGAAGAACCCATCCTCCAAAGTTATATCTACCTGAAGGCTTCTTTAAAATTAAATGACAGCTGTGGGCAAGTATCCTTCAAGATACTTTGGTGATCCCTCATGAAAAACCTACCTGAGACTCCTTTTCCTTTGGCTCTGAAAGAGGGTCCTTACAATTAAATACTGTCTTTTACTCACTAAGCCAAATCAAATTCACCCCAACAGCTCCTCATCAGGTGTACACTGCCTACCTCTTTTACCCACTAAGCCAAATCAAATTCACCCCAACAGCTCCTCATCAGGTGTACACTGCCTACCTCTTTATAATCACAATTAAAATAAAAGAGCAGCCTAATGTGCAATATTTGTGGAGTTAAGCGAAACCTCCTGGCCTATTTTCACACTGAAGGAAGAAGGCACATTCTGTTCCACGTAAGGAATTATAAGTTTAGACACAAGACATGAAAATGGATAAATGGTTAATTTTTCTCATTAGATCTTCTAAAAGGGAAATGTGGTATAGTCAGTGGAAGGAATAATCAGCTTTAGAAAGCAGAGAGGTGATGCACACAACAAAATGCAAATACTGAACTAATGATAAGGAAAAGAGTAATACAGGGAGAAAAGAAAGACCAATAAGCAAGAATTTAAAGAGTAAAGGTGAAGAGTCTTTAAATAGGCTCTACAGGAGACTGAAAAGTAGAAATGAGGAAGATAAGGGGACAAGTAGACTGGCTCATTAAAAAAGTCACAGGTAAAAGACGATTAAGGTAACCAAATAAGAGGGACTAACACGAACATGGTCAGAGACCTTTAAGATTGGAAGGTGGAGAGAGAGCTTAGCAGAGCGACAATAAAGGAAAATGAAAAGCTAATATTCAAAAGGTGGGGGAGGGGAGAGGAAAAAAGCCCTGGAAAATATTTACTCTGAATTCCTCTCTCTAGTGGAATACCCAAGTCTAATACTTCATGCAGCTTCCCATAGAGCACAAAGAGATGAAGTTTCAAGACCAGTTATTGTCACTGTACAGAAAAATTTCAACCTAGCAAGCCTGAGATGCTAAATAGAAGCAATTATGAACAGCTAATACTGCCAGCTAAATTAGTTGCAGATATCATGATTAAACATTCCAATCTGATTTATCTGTATGCATTGTTCACAAAATGGTCTAAAATCAATTTGCATGGACTATTAGACATGCCGTTCTGAATTAACTCCAGAGTACAACACAGAGAAAAAAAATCAGAAAAATCAAAATGGTCCATCTATTCTAGCAAATACCCCGAGGGAATAACTGGCTACAAAAAATAAAAAAGAAACACCCTTGGTTGTTTTTTACTCATTTAAAATTAATGTAATTATTAGCTACTCAGGACAAAGACCAAGACTGAAGTTTTCGAACTTGTATCTGAAATTGGGCTCCTAGATTCATGTTTAGGCACCAAAACAAAAGTAGCTTTAATGAGGCCTTAAAAGCTTAACTTCAGGCACCCAATTTTGGCCAGCATGAGTTACCTGTTTGCAAAGCACAAGGTACACTTTTGGCTCTGGAGAAAGTATAAATTCAAACAAATCCGGTACTCTAGATATTCTGTTTTTAGAGAAGATTTAAATAAAGGCTGGAATGAATCACTAAGGTCTACCTTTTGGAAGAGCCTCATTGAATTTGAGAGGAGGACAACTTCTGAACCATCCTCTAAACAGGGATGTTATTCTCTACGACACTCCCAGAAAGGTTCCCAAGCAGTACTCCCTCTCGGAGTAAAGGAAAAATGCCTCACCTTGCCGTCTCCTTCCACTCCATCTCTTGTCCATCAACAGCCAGAAGCTCGTCCAGTTCGGTGAAGAGCTGAGGGGGTGCAGGGCTGTCATCTTCTTCACCCAAAATGAAGCGGATTCGCTCGGCAGCGGGGGAGACTGCAGAGGTGAAAATACTGCGGTTAACAGCCTGAATGATGATCTGGGATGTTCGGCTTCTCTCCTTCCCCTTCTCCCCAAAGCTATTTAGCTTTTTCTCCGTGTTGCCTTTTTCACTTGACATTTTAATTCTCTCTCTTTGTCTATAGTTCCCTCTCTTCCCTCTCCTCCCACTTACTTCTTAAAACTTCAAGCTGGGAGTAAAGTTCAGGAAGACTTGCCTCTTCCTACAGTCCCTAACTGTGTTACAACAATCCACAGCCCCTTGTAAAAAGAGAACTATCAAGCTCAAAACCAATACGTTCTATGGTGCATGCCCAGGACCTTTACTACTCTGATCAGCTGAGGTCCTCCAGCCCTTTTTTTTTATATGACATAAAACCAGTTTAAGCCAAACTGTTTTGGGGGTATACAGCACAGGAAAAGCAGCAGCATCCCACTGCCAGCTTTCCCCTCCCTTTGGATGAAGCTGGCTTTTTAATTGGTTTGCAAGCCAATCTGTAACCCTCCAAGACTCATTACTCGTGAAAGGAATATTTAACAAAAAAGTTTGCCTCGTCTTTACATGAAGACTGTGCCCGAACGTATTTAGTCAGGCATCAACGCACTGGAAAAAAACAACCCCCAGGTAAAATATTGTCCATTCAAGGAAAAGAAAACTCGTTTTGCCATATGGCCCCGTGCTAAAGCAGATAATTGAAAGTTCTGTGGGGCTCCTTTTGACCTCTTAGCTAAGGAAAAATTAACTGAAATTCTCGCCAGTTCAAGGGGGAAAAGAGAGTAGTTATCTTATCCTCATAATAAAGGACTTACAGCTTCACTCTAGGTATTTTACAGGTCTAACTATACCCTCAACAACAAAACCTCATGCTTCAACTGACTTTAAATGTAACCTGCAGTAGACTTTTAAAATAGTGGTTTGTGCTCTTGTTTGCTTCTTTCTCGTGTATAAAGAAGAGGTAAAGGACGGTTGTTGGGTTTGGTTCAGATTTTTAAGAGGGAGAAAGCGCTTTTTCCCTTTTTTTTTTAACCTCAATTATCAGAAATGTCAAGCCTGGTCCTTCCCTACGGTTTTACTAAGGGATTGCTTGAGATCGAAGAAGTTTTTGTAAGTTCTCACACTTTAAAATGACGAAGTGGAGTGTTGAAACCTAAAGAAAGATATCCTTTCAACTGAGTGTTTATTGGGCCTTAGAGTTAAATAGAAGTTTACAAAGTAGGCGTTCTAATCAGTCTAACTAAAAATTCCTCCCCTCTCCCATACAAGAATGATTCAAAAAAATATGGGAGGCCATGGTTATGAAAAAATTAACATACCAGTTACATACAAAATAGACGGAGGACAGATAGATACTTAGATATTTGGTTATCTTTTATTCTACACTCAAAGTACGTTCACCTTGAAAAACACCAACACATGTGTCCAATTAACATTTGATAGGCACTCCTGGTCTGTTAAATATATGTCTATTTGGATTTCACTCAACTTAACATCACTAGAAACAACATATTATAGGTTTTCTAATGAACTCTCCCTCTGTAATATGGTAACATCCTGTTAAAAAGAAAGACCTGATGCCTATTTTCCTGTATAAAGTCTCTTTAAATAAAAGCTCCTGTTGTAATGGCGGCTTTATTTCTGATATTTACATGGCAAGGATTTGTAAACTTGTTAAAATGTCCTAAATAAACAAACAGAAAAACAAACAAAATCCTTCCCTGTCGATAGCTCAACTTTCCTTCTCTTGCAATAGAAACATTTAACCAGTTCTCCAGTCACCATAAGAGTTTCCCAGGATAGACGAGATCTGAACTTCTAATGTAAAGAAACAAGCAAGAACAATTTCCCCTGCCCTAAAGAGAGACCTTTCATGGTTTCTATACATTATGAAGCAAAAGTGGGCCTAAATGCACTTATTTTTCATTTGCAGCTACACCTTTAATTAAGGTGGCCATGTTTTTATAATAAAAAACCCCCAATATTTCTCTTCTGCCATTATTTACACTATACAAAAAATAAAAGTCCACTTTTGTTTTTAAATGAGCACTGTCAATGCTACTGCCAACTCCCAGTACTACTGCAACCTAGGAATATTTCTCAGAATGGAGAATTTTTTCCAATAACTTAGTACCTGATTCTCATTCACAGTAAGGCCACTTTACAGCCCTTTGGTAACGTAAAGGGGCCTTATCATACATAGAAATCATATCCTTGGTCTCTGATCAATTTTTTGCATGAAACACTGATCAAGTGTTGCTAACAGTTACTTTGAGTAAAATTTTTAAAAAGTGCCTAAGGGCTTGTCTACACTTCACTGAAGCTGCGGCACTGTAGCGTTTGAAGATGCTACCTACACCGATGGGAGGGGTTCTCCCATCAACAGAGGTACTTCACCTCCCTGAGAGGCGGTAGCTAGGTTGACATGAGAATTCTCCTACCAACCTAGCGCTGTCTGCACTGGGGGTTAGATTGGTTTAATTGCATTTCTCAGGAGTGTTGATTTTTCACACCCCTGAGCAGCATAGTTATACCAACCCAGTGTGGACCAGGCCTATATGACTTAGAAGCTTAAGTCCCATTTTCAAAAGTTAGTCAGCACTTAGGAGCCAAGTCAATGAGACTTAGGCCTTTCAATCGCTTTTGAAAGTGCGGCTTGGCCACTTTTGAAAAACGGTACGTACTGAGCAAAACACCACCAATCATGGGATCTACACATTTGACTTCTCTTTTCATACCAAATACTGGTCATCACAATGAGCACTTGTTCCACTCTAGTTTTCCTGGTAAACACAGTGCAAATTCTATTTGCTATAGCAACGTTAAGGAGTTATTTTAAAAAAATGTTTTGAATGATTAAATGATACCCCAGAAGAAGTTTGTGAAAAAAACAGAAATGCTCCAGTAAAACTGGCACATATGGTCTCTTTACCTTTACCATCATCTAACCCCTTCCTTGTTATCCAGGGCTTGACAGCACATCCGTCCCGATCTTGAGAAACAGTTTCTAATAGCTTTGCTCATATTTAACTGCATTTATCTTTCATAGCAACTGGACATCTAACTGTACAGTTACTCACTGTGCCTGCAGCTCAAGCAGTTGGAAGTCTAAGAGCTACAAAATGTGGCTGCAATCATTTGCTGACTATCAGGACCCAGACTACAGTTCTAAAAAAATCAAAATCAGACCGTGGCATACAAACCTCCATGTTTCAAAATCCGTATAACACTAAGGCAAAACAGAGTGAGGCAGAGATGGTGTTTTTAACTTTGACTGAAATTTCATTGTACTTGTTGAATCTTTGCTTAATTTCCTCTGGCTTTTTGGGGAAAGCAGGGGGAAGAGTGGAAGCAGAGGTGTGGGGATGAACATATATTGTTTATGGGGAAGATTTTCAAAGACAGGTACACTTCCCCCTGACTTTCAATAGGAATGTCTTTGTGCCTTTGAACAACTTCTGTTTTAAAAAAAAGACACTAAAATCAAGTTTGATATAAGTTATGAAAAGGGGGATTCAAAGAAAAATCCCAGAGATCTGCTATGGGATACATCATAATTCTGGATCCAATATCAAGCCAATGGCCTTAGCATTCATCTGACGTTTGTACATTCTTCTCCTCATAGAATATCAGGGTTGGAAGGGACCTCAGGAGGTCATCTAGTCCAACCCCCTGCTCAAAGCAGGGCCAATCCCCAGACAGATTTTTGCCCCAGATCCCTAAATGGCCCCCCTCAAGGACTGAACTCACAACCCTGGGTTTAGCAGGCCAATGCTCAAACCACTGAGCACTCTCCCCCACCCCTCTCATTTCATACTCTATAACAACTCTGGAAAAGCCATTCTCTGAATATGTCTTAGCAGTACATAGTCCATTAGGTGGACTGCAGTTTGGTTTAAAGCTTGTTTGTTTTTTAGGACTCCCCTGTTTTTCCTGATGAGCATGAAGGCAACAAGCTCTAGAGCAAATAGGCAACAGGCTCTAGAGCAAATCAAGAGCAACCCTGGATAACTCTAGAGAACAATACAAGGCACTGCCGGAAATTCCTCCCTTTCTGGCTGAATGTGACAGCTATAAATGCTTATTGACAACACCACATTTTTACATTATGGACCAAATTTTGGACCACTGTCAATGGGTGTGGCTCCAAATTTGGCCCTGTAAATACATAATTTATCTTCTGTTTATCCTCCTCGGTTTTGAGATGTTGCTTCTCTTTCAGTTGATCTCTGCAGGAAAATGAGGTGCAATCCCCCCAGTACGGAGCACTGGACTTCTAAGCACACACCTCATGAAGGCCAAACCCTCTAACCATAGTCCCACTGCTCAGCAACAGTTCCAGTGATTCTATTTTCTGATCCATTTCCACTGTAACCATCCTCCAGGTATATCACCTAGAAGCCTATTCTATAACCGATCTGTGTAATTGTTCACTACAATGTTACTATACTCGAATGAGTTCTCACCTTCCCTCAAATAGAATGTGAGCCAGATCAGTTTGTTCATCACCTGTATGAATATATATGGAAACATACTGATGTACCCTTTCATTTTTGAACTGCAAGTCATTTCATTGTGTTTACCCCTAAAGGGTATGTAGTGGGGCAGCTGCCCCACTCCTGGAGAACAGGGGTAAAAGCAGCCAAGCTAGGCTGATTGGAGAAGCAGCCACAACTGTGGCCAGCTCAATTAGGGCCCAGCTGGCGCTGATAAGAGAGCTGGGGGCCAGGAGCTAGAAGAGTCTCACTCTAACCCTGAAGTGGGAAGGGCCTAGGTGCCTGGGAGCAAGGTACCTGAAGCCGAGCAGGGCTGGGGAAAAGGGCAAGGGACCTCAGGAACTCCAGCCTGGAAAAAATCCAGGCTGCAGGCCTACAGAGATACTGAGGCTGCAGAGATACAGCCTGGGAATAGACAAAGGCAGCAGGTCCTACCCCAGATAATGACTGGCAGTAACCACTGAGGTATGGTGGGCTTAAAAGGGTGAAGGTTCCCCTGGGAGGGG